CGGCTGCGGCTAGGGGAATGTCTGTTGTAGCCGTTTCTGTGAGGCTGGACGGGTTTTGCGAAGGGGCTTTTCGAATTCAGAAAAAACCCATGATTTTTCTTTAAAAAAAGTTATTGCGAGCGAGAGAAAATGCTTCCGTCTGGGCTCCTACGAGAGGACTTGGAAAGGAAGCCGCTGCTATTGTAGGTAGATAGACCTAACTGGTCACTGCGTTGCCGGGAGAACGGCTTTTATCTGAATATGGAGTGCTTATGCTGCCTTTTAATTATTCGTTCTAATTTGCTTTATGCTTTTACTTCATAGCGGAGTTTGTGATAAGTCTTGCTGAGAAAAATACTACGTTTGACACATTTAAAGCAGTTCTTCTAAAGAATGGTGCTGAGTTCACTGTAAGTGCGATCTGAACGTTATTTATGTGTTGTTCTTCTCGTGGTATATTTTATAGAGCTTTTTGTTGTAAAGATGGAGGTTTGAGGAGTGATTATAGGTTTTCTTCAATTGGAAAACTATACACTAATTAGATTTTGGGTATTCCTGTCTCATCAAGCCAAGCCTCCTCCTCCCTCCTTTTTTAAAAACTTTTGTAGTCATTGTGAAGCATCGTTCTTAGGACTTGAACTGCTTATTGTCTTGTTGAGCATATAAAGTATGGAAGAAACAATTTTTCACAAAGGCAAATGTTGTCATGAGTCTTTTTATGATACTGGGTTTGTGAGTTCCGTAGAAATAACTGTAGTTGAATTAAATAGATAGGCAGAAAAGTCACTTAAATGGAATTATCATAATAATTTTCAGATTCAACTTGTATCTTTTTGGGATGTACATGAAGTCCAGTGATACTTTCTGAAAATGAACCTGAATCTTCAGAATTGAGCTTTTTTTGTCCTGATAATAAACGCTCACTTGAGACTTCTGATAATGAAAAACAGTGTTGCAGTCATTTCTTAGATTAAAGTATTTTATTAAATTTTTCAGGATTCCCTTATTAGTAATTTGCTACGTCTCATACAGACGATGCGACCTCCACCAAAACCATCTACAAGCAAAGGTACACATAATCTTGTCCCGCTTATCGGTTCAGTGTGAAAAGTAAAACAAAACTCTTACTCTTTTGTAGGTTTTGGCCATGTTTGGTGAGATTGGTATAGTTAGTTGCTGTTCTAGTCGTATAAGCCAAGACTTTGTATCTTCTTGTTGCAGTGGGAGCCTCTCTGCTGTTAGTGGTAGACTAGCAAAGCTGTTTAAGCACTAAAAACATATTGAGTATACTGTTTACAGTATTAATGTATTTCCCAGATTTGCTAATAATCAGAATTTTATTTGTAGGAAGGTAACATTGTAGTCTTTGAATTGAATCTCTGTAAAATCTGTATTAGCCTTTGCATTCAGATGAAGGTTAAACTTTATATTCAACTACAGAAAAATCAAAAGCAGATTGTTCTAGCTCTTCTAAGTTTTTGGGGTTTTTGTTTGTTTTTTTTGTTTTAAATATCAAAATCAGAGACAGCTGCAAAACCCAAATCAGAGAAGGAAAAGCTGAAGGAATTGTTTCCAGCCCTTTGCAGGCCAGACAATCCCAGCATCAGGGTAAGGTCACAATTTCAGATCTCTTTTGTGAGTATGTGAAAACATACAATTCCCCCCACCCCCCCCATTAGTTTCAAGTTTTTTTCATGTTAATGTGTTTGCTGCTAATGCATGGATAAGAACGGACTATGGGAAATGAAATATGAAAGAAGCAGAAGGCTGGTATTATTGCATACAGTTACCAAGAATAGCTGTTACAGCAATTGCCACGTTGATACTGATTTGCAGAATACCTGAAAGATGAGACTCTTCTGACATGAAATTTGTAGCCTAGCCTTTCTTGCATAATGTTCAAAGTAATGATGGATTACAAACAAGATAAAATTTTTGGACATTCAGATACTACGAGGGACTTGCATTTTATATTTCTGTAAGAATTTGAGGTGTTGGGCTGTCTTTTGTATAAAAGCAGAATTGTCTCAATATTGCGGCAAAATAGGGGGATAGCTTTATTACTTTTTTTTCGTATGTCACATATGCTGTGTAATGTTTTTTTATCTTACATTCCTTCTAAACAGATATGCATGTGGTTGTCCTTTTTGTAGATTAATTCTGTGACAGACTTTTTATCAGCCTTCTTACAGAATGGTTCTCTGTTCTTGCAGAATATGCTGGATGAAGATGATGTGAAAGTGGCAGCTGATGCACTTAAAGAACTTGAAGCTCTGATGCCTAGTGCAGACAGGCAAGGCAAGCAAAGGAGCAGTGACCACTGGTAGGTTTCTGGTATGTCTTTGGGTAATAGGTACTGGTGGTTGGTATTGCCTGCTCACTCTGCTTTTATGTGGAATTTCACTGCAAATATGTAATGTTTGTTTCTTAGGGCAAAGAAAAAGAGGAAGAGCCGAAGTCGTAGCAGGGATAGGAAACGAAGACACAGATCTCGCTCTAGGTCTCGTTCAAGGACTCGTGATAAGAACAGGGGAAAATCCAGATACCGGTCAAGGAGCAGAAGTCAGAGTCCCAGTAGGGACCGTAAGGATCGAGAGAAGTACATTGAGAAGAGCAATGAGAGATGGAGAGACAAGCATCTAGACCGTCCACCACCTGAGGAGCCTTCCATTGGAGACATTTACAATGGCAAAGTCACAAGTATAATGCAATTTGGATGCTTTGTGCAGCTGGAAGGATTAAGGTACCTTCTGATGTTCACAATAAATCTGGTACTATTCTATCTGAGTTCTTTTTTCTGCTACTATTTTAAAGAGTTTATGAGGCTACAATAACGTATGCTGGGTTCTGACGCCAAAATAAAGATCTGTTTCGGAAAAATAAATTTGACAGCATAGAATGTTCTTGTTTATAAAAACAATTTATGAGTGTACACAAAAAATCAGTTGACAGCAAAATATTTTAATCCAGACTGAATGATTTGAAGGACTCTTGGAGTAATAATGTACATCTCATGCCCCTTTGTTTGTTTCACTTACAGGAAGCGTTGGGAGGGCTTGGTCCACATCTCAGAGCTTCGAAGAGAAGGACGGGTTGCCAATGTTGCTGATGTTGTGAGCAAAGGACAAAGGGTAAAAGTCAAAGTGTTATCCTTTACTGGATCCAAAACCAGCCTGAGCATGAAGGTACGAAAGATACTCTGTAGTGCTTACAATAGTGTTTGTGGTGCCAACATTTTTAAAGATTACTTCTCTTTTTGCTATTTTTTGCTCTTTTTGATGAAAACTAATACATAACCCTTCAAGTGGGAGTTAAAAAAATCAAGTTACTGTTCTGTATTTAAGTGGCCTATTACCTTTTACTCATTTTCTGTAGGTTCTTGTTTTTGATGTAATGTTACTAAGAATTTTTTGACTTAACATGTTTACTAAGTGACAAGACAGACCTCAAGCTGTTGCCATGTTTGTGTTCCTTTTTCAGTATGAGAGAAGCATTTAATTTTAAATGAAATCACTGCCATCGCCAAGGCAGAGTAGCGCATTCCAGGCCTTGCGGTGTACTTACCTTGCAATACCAGCTGGGGAAAAAAAAAATCATGCAAAATAGCATTTTCTGTGTATGGGCTGTTCTTGCTAGCAGTCTCTCTGAGAAATGTACTCTGCTTTTTCTCTTGTGTTAGAGGAAGCACCAGTGTTAATAGATAAGTGCAATATAGGTAGAGCTGATTGATTAATCAATCTAATGTAGGATGTTGATCAAGACACTGGGGAAGACTTGAACCCAAACCGGAGGAGAAACCTGGTTGGAGAAACCAATGAAGAAACCTCTATGAGAAACCCAGACAGACCCAGTCACCTGTCCCTGGTGAATGCCCCAGAGGTGGAGGATGATAGCCTTGAACGGAAACGCCTCACCCGAATTTCAGACCCAGAGAAATGGGAAATAAAACAGGTGTGCTTTGTGTTCAGGGAAACAGAGTGACAGTTGCTGAAATAGCTAGGGAGTTTCATGAACTAGAATACAACTCTTTGATTGTTTGTCCTTACCTCTAAATTGCTGCCTTCTTGCGGTTTGGGACTTCTAGCTTAGTTCTAGCTGTGAAGCTAGCCCTGCTTTGAGCAGGATGTTGGACCAGGTAACCTCCAGAGATCACTCTGACCTGGGGGATCATAGTCTTTATCCAGTGACACTTAAGTGGTATTGGATTATCAGTGCAGTCCTGGCATGCATAAGCCAGCTGTCTCACACTGATGGTATTTAGAATAACAAAAGGACTATTTGCTCAGAGACTGGATGACTTGGGGAGGGGTGTGCCAGAATGTAGGGCCATTCCTTTGTTCTGAAATCACAACATTCCTTTGTTCCTGTTTTGCAAGTGCCAATAGCTTTTTGACAACAGCATTAGAAATTAGACCTCAGAGGTGTGAGTTGAGTTCATTCATGGGGACAAATTAATGTTGCATTCATTCTGTTCCCAGATGATTGCAGCTAATGTGCTTTCCAAGGAAGAGTTTCCTGACTTTGACGAGGAGACTGGGATTCTTCCTAAAGTTGATGATGAAGAAGGTAGTATTTCTAAATAGTTGTCTTCTTGTAAATTTGTTGTGTTTCTGGATGTGTTTTGATTCAAAAAGAGACGATGATATAAGTGTATGCAAAGCATCTCACAATTTGCTGTCATCTTAAATGTTTGGAACTAGGGTTGCTCTAGCCTTATTAGTGACATTTGGATGTGCCCCATCTGTGCATTCTTTATACTTGTGGTGTTTTCACTTTTAAAACTATCTAAGTACATCATCATCAAAATACACAGGAAGCACCATTTGAAGAGGTACTTTTATGTACCTGGAAGAAGATTTTTAACTTTTATAGAAAAATTGTCACTTGTGGATTTTAGATGAGGACCTTGAGATTGAGTTAGTTGAAGAAGAGCCACCGTTCCTTCGAGGTCATACTAAACAGAGCATGGATATGAGTCCCATCAAAATAGTAAAGGTAAGAGATTTCCAAGACTAAACCCATTATACTTGATTTAATTAAACAGATATTTGGGAAGTTAACAGCCAGTTTTCCACCTGGACATTACTGAGAGCCCTGAAAAACACTACCACTGAACTGAAGATCCTTTTTTTACTTACAAAGCTGGATTCGTACTTAACTGGTGACAGGGAATTGGAATAATAGAATTGCAGAATAAAATGCACGTTAGCCTGCAGCATGTCACATAAGCGTGTTAGAACATGCTTTCTGTGTTCTGCTTTTTCTTACTTCTTGAAAGTTGAAGGTGGTAGAGAAATCATTTTTGTTGGTTGTGCCCATAATCCCTCTGACTGGACAGTGTAGGGATGCTCCATATTAGTCATGACCATGGAAGTTTGTGAGGTTGGGTTAATGGAAATATCCTGGAAATCAAATAGGTAAAAAGTTAAGATCTTTTAAAGCATATTCAGAAGATGCTTGTAAAGGACAGTGATGACAGAGATAATTGAAGTTGAAGGATTGGGAGTGCTTGAAATCTTAACTTTTTTTCTTGCTTTCCAGAATCCAGATGGTTCCTTGTCACAGGCTGCGATGATGCAGAGTGCTTTAGCTAAAGAAAGACGAGAACTTAAACAAGCCCAGAGAGAAGCAGAGATGGATTCTATCCCCATGGGACTCAACACACACTGGGTGGATCCTCTGCCTGATGGTATGTCTGAACATGTCGAAGTGTGCACTGTGCCTTTTTTTGTGATAGTTGAGCAACCTAGCAGAAATGTCTTATTGCTGTGTTTGTCTGCCTCACTTTAAAAGTGAGGCAAAGAAGAAATGCTTTTCTGCTGAAGTGGAAATAGGAGTCTCAAGGGAAATGTACAGGTAAATCATGCTATCTGTCAAGAATGCGTTACTAAAAGGTGCGATGGATGGTGAAGCAATTTTTAACATGGAAATTAATGTAATACTGGAGATATACATGTAGGAACTTAAAAAGTACTTAAACACACAAGTATAGAAGGCATGGATGATGGAACAATAGGAGCAGGATCATCAGGGTCTGTGCTGTGTGAACCTAGATGTAATGGTGAAATTGTTTCTTTTCTAGTGGATGGAAGACAAATAGCTGCAAATATGCGAGGTATTGGGATGATGCCCAATGATATCCCAGAGTGGAAGAAACATGCATTTGGTGGCAACAAAGCTTCTTACGGTAAGAAGACCCAGCTTTCCATCATTGAGCAGAGAGAGAGTCTCCCAATCTTCAGACTGAAGGAGCAGCTGATACAAGTAAGACTCTTGAAATGATGTTCTTGTTTAAGCAAGCAATAAGTTAAAATAAATATTCTTGGTTTAGCTTATTGACACGTGAATAGCCAGTTGATAATTTTAAGTGCAGAACTGTAGTTCAGAATAATTATTTTAAAGGATTATATATATCTGTATATTTTAATAAAGCTCCAGATACTTATTGATGTAAGTCAAATTTGAAACTAGGATCATGTCAGCAAGGGATGGGTCAACTAAACAGTTAAGCAGTTTGCTGACTTGATCAGTGAGAACACTTGTGTGATTTTTGGTCTGGGTCAGCTGGAGCAAAAGCAATAGGTGCTCAGTCTAGTCCTAGATATTCTGTGTTGGTTTTGTTTGGTTTTTGTTTTTAACTTTTGACAAGTGTATCTATTGTGACCTTTTCTAGGCTGTGCATGACAACCAGATTCTGATTGTTATTGGAGAAACAGGATCTGGGAAAACAACACAGATAACCCAATACCTGGCTGAGGCAGGGTATACATCAAGAGGAAAGATTGGATGTACTCAGCCTCGAAGAGTGGCTGCAATGTCTGTTGCGAAGAGAGTGTCAGAGGAATTTGGTTGCTGCTTGGGACAAGAGGTGAATTTCCATGCTGAAGAACATGCCAAAATAAGCATGAGGAAAAGTGGGAAAAATCAGTACTGGAGCTAGTTTGCATGTGTGTCTGTGTGTCTTGTTTCCTTGTAGGCTGTAAAATGAGCTTGCGGAATAATCACACTGGGAATTAATGGTGCTAATAATTTAATTCTGTAACTTCAGTTTCTGTGCAACTCTTCTTTCTAGGTTGGCTACACCATTCGATTTGAAGACTGCACTAGCCCTGAAACTGTTATCAAATACATGACAGATGGTATGTTATTGAGGGAGTGCTTGATAGATCCTGATCTGACCCAGTATGCCATTATCATGCTGGATGAAGCCCATGAGAGGACCATACATACAGATGTGCTCTTTGGACTCCTCAAGAAGGTAGTGTAGCATTTTATTTTTATTGCTTCAGTGTCTTCTGTATGCTATGTGTGACCTTGGCAGTAAATTTTTTGAAATTCTGTATACTGGAATGAGCTGCCCCTCTACTCAGACATTAAAATGCCTGATATTATTAATCATATTTTTCTGACTTAAGTCAGATATGTTAATAGTCGCAAAGGCAATAAATGACATGAGAACTTTCTATCCTGCTATAGACTGTGCAGAAGCGGCAGGATATGAAGCTGATAGTGACGTCAGCAACGCTAGATGCTGTGAAATTCTCCCAGTATTTCTATGAAGCGCCGATCTTCACAATTCCTGGTAGAACATACCCAGTAGAAATTCTGTACACAAAAGAGCCAGAGACAGATTATTTGGATGCCAGTCTAATTACAGTAATGCAGATCCACTTAACAGAGCCACCAGGTGAGTGGAGAATGGTCTAGGGTTATTGGTGATTCAAGGACTCTAATACCTATGAGCAAGGTCTTTCTATAAGTCATGGGTCATCTATTAGTGACATGAGCAAAATGCTGTCAGCACTATCCTCTGTTGCTTGCAAATATGGTAAATAAAACGCTGAAAAAGTTGGGTGAAAGACTGAAGTATGTTACTTCTGGCTAAGAGTTGTTGCCCAGGGGCTAGAAAAAGTTGAGGATCCTCTGCTTTAAATGGAAAAGACGAGTGACAGGAATGCGGTAATGCAGGAGTTGTACTGAACAGAATTGATTCTGTGGATGTTTTAATTTACTTCCTGTGTAGGTGACATTTTGGTGTTTCTAACTGGTCAGGAAGAGATTGACACTGCCTGTGAAATACTCTATGAGAGGATGAAATCTCTAGGACCTGATGTTCCAGAGTTAATTATCCTACCAGTATATTCAGCTTTACCGAGTGAAATGCAAACCAGGATCTTTGACCCAGCCCCACCAGGAAGCAGAAAGGTAATTTCAGCTAAGTATGGCTTCATCTTCTGCTAATACTTTTTAATAGTGGGGTGTATTACGCTGCTAATCATACTTCTCTTTTTTTTTTTTCCTTCCTTTTTATTTAGCACTTTGATTCTGTTAATTACAACTTCAGACAAAATGATGTAGTTTTGGAGAAAAGGTGGCTGATATGTAGCTTAGAGCATGTTTTTGGTTGCATACATGCCTATACATGTTATCTAAGCCTTTGGAAGTGTATATAAAAACATCTCGTGTAGCAAACCTCTGTGTGGAATGTTCTTGGGCCTTTAAAGGATATTAACTTTAGGGAAATCTAAATGCAGTTCCTGTTGGATGGATGTAAATTTCCTACCGAACAGCCAGTGAATATCTAGACATCTTCTGGAAGATTCTTCTCTGAATATGGACTGTGTTTGAGTGATAGGCAGAAATTCTCCCTGAAGTCAGTGCAGTCTGCTTACAAACTTACAATGATCTTTCACTTGCTTTTAATGATGGATTTTATCATGCTCTTTTCCCATATTGCCCAAATCTAAAACAAATGTAGATACTTAAAACCTGTCCATCTTTGACTGTAGATAACAATTTTTTCTGTTCCTATGTGAACACATTTCTCTGTTCAATGTTGAATGATAGTGGTTGCATTTATAACAAACTGCTCGTGTCATGTGGAATGGATTGTTTAAGCTGAGCAGCATGGTTGGCTTGGCAAGCAGACACGGAACTGGTACTGAATCAAGCTGTTATTTGCAGGTTGTCATCGCCACTAACATTGCTGAGACATCTTTGACTATTGATGGAATATATTATGTAGTTGATCCTGGCTTTGTGAAGCAGAAAGTTTATAACTCCAAGACTGGAATTGACCAGCTGGTTGTTACACCGATTTCACAGGTAGGCAGTCTGTGTCTGACTTTTTTTCCGCGCCTCCCTCCACCCCCCCAGTAATGTATATCTTGCTGATGTGGCATCCAAGCACATGGAAGCAAAGTGAGACAATGATAAAACCACATTTTTGATAACTCCGTGAAACACCTTGAGGCTGTGCCTAAGAAATACATACTTTCCTGGGTTGTACTGGAAATCTTTTCTGTTAATCCAAGTAAAATTGTGAATATTTTATCATTTTATTTTACTTGTTTTCACCTGTGCTTGTTTGCACCTGTTCACTGAGATGCCTTATTACCTTTAGGCTCAAGCAAAGCAGCGAGCAGGAAGGGCTGGGAGAACAGGACCAGGAAAATGCTATAGGTTATATACAGAGCGTGCTTATCGAGATGAAATGCTAACCACCAATGTGCCTGAAATCCAGAGAACAAATCTGGCCAGTACGGTACTTTCCCTGAAGGTGGGTATTTCACCAGCTTGTAGCAAGCCAACATAATCATAAGCGTTTCAGTAAATGAGTCTCTGCCTTTATGAGCCTCATGAAGTACTTCTGTAATTTCAGATCCTCCTAGCGAACAAGGGTATTTTGGAAGAGAGACTGCATCAAATGCAATTCTCAGGCACTGAGCTTGCTCCTGCGTTTTTCTGTTGAGGGTTATAATGTTGAATATCCACCTAAATCACAAGTGTCAGCTGCACAGAACAGTTAGTTGCAGGAGGTTTGAGAAACAGGAATCTTATGGGCAGTAGACGTTTCCTATGGAAGGTACATTTATGTTGTTAACAGATAAGACACACTGTTTTAGAATGGTGTTTGATCTCCAGACATACGCACCTTCTAAGTGTGTACCATCCCTCTGTGAGTCCACGAACTGGATCTAACCCAGTACATAGCAGCTGGGGAAGCTGCTGCCTTTTCCCCCTTTCTGGAAACAAGAGAAAGGGTGGAGACATACTTGGTGTCCATTGAAGCTGTCAAGGCAGGAAGTCTTCAAAACCAGCGTTTAGCATATGTGTCTCCTCAGTTGAGTCATCTTGCTTGAGAGATGTGTGGAACAGTATCAAAGAAACAGACCAGAAAACTGAATTGTGGGTGAAAGCCATGGGCCAATGCAGATTATCTCAAGTGTAGAAATATAGCCATGCATTTGTGACTGCGATTACCGTCAGGATAAGGATGTGAGACTAGGGTTGCTTAAAGTTCTATAGTGCCTCATTGTTTGATGGTTATTCATTTCTGGCTGGACTTTGGTGTCTTCCTTCTCAGTGTTTTATCTTGGGTTTTCTCCACTCCTTCTGTTCAGGCTATGGGCATCAATGATTTGCTCTCCTTTGACTTTATGGATGCTCCCCCAATGGAAACTCTCATAACTGCCATGGAGCAGCTGTATACTCTGGGAGCTCTGGATGATGAGGGACTACTCACTCGACTCGGGCGCCGAGTAAGCAAAATAGAATACTTATTAGCACTGGCTGGGTTGCAGATATTTAGGGCGTGACATGAGGGTAGTTGTATGAGGACTTGCCTAGCACTGTTGGTTTCCTTTTCGTATTACTATCTTGTGTTTTATTGGTAGCTTTTCACTTACCATTGTTGTGTACCTTCTGCTTTTTAAAGAGCAGCTATTATTTCTCCTTATTTATAAGGTTACTTTTATTAATGTCAAAAAATTTCCTGTAAGTATTGGGATATTCTTGTGATAGTGAATATAGACAAATAATTTGCTTCATGTTGAGTAAAGTTATTCTGGGTAAAGCACACTGCTTTGGAAAGGAAGCATGGAAGAAAGGGCATTGCTCTCTTTTGCACTGAGAGAACTCAAGATTTTTCCAAGGTGTTGCGGGGTACCCTGAAACAGGTTTCTTGCAGATGGCAGAATTCCCCTTGGAGCCTATGTTGTGTAAGATGTTAATCATGTCTGTACATCTGGGATGCAGTGAGGAAATGTTGACAATAGTCTCCATGCTGTCTGTACAGAACGTGTTCTACAGGCCAAAGGTAAGGAATGCAGCCAAGAAGCAGCATTGTTACAGTTTGGATGCTTTTTGTGTGCCTGCCTCAGGTGTTAGAGAGTGAGCATATTTGCCAAAATAAACCTGTAGCTTGGTTAGACTGTTTGCTCATACATTACATTTTTGATGTACTCTTTGGTTAAACACCTTGTAGCTGTGGATGTTGGCAGTTTCTTTGCAGATGGAAGATGGAAGTTAGAAATCTTGCATTCTCTTTTGCATTTCCCAGTGAAGGCGTACAACCCTAAACCAAGTCAGTCCCAGCTCTGGACTTCTGAACGCCTTTGTTGTTTTCAGATATGCAGAATGTGTTTCTTCATGGCAATCCTGTGCTGTGCTGATTTCTTTCTAAGTCAGCAAGCAGCAGACTATGCTGTGGTAGGATTCCTCAACAGCAGACTTCTCTTGAATCCATTATTTCTTCATTTTGATGGCCTGCTGCAGTTTAGTCTGTTAACTTCAATTTTGATCTATGTAGCCACAGTGTTGATTAATGTTTTATCGGTGGATTGGAGAAGTGGGCAGAGGTGGGTAGGTCACAGCGTCAAAGCTACTGCTTTCAGCACCTTTGTTGATGAGTAATTGACGTTGCTTCTAGAGCAATAAAAAACTTGCTAGTTCAATCCATGCATGTACTTCCTACAGTATAAATGAACCATTTACTTTGAAATGTCCTTTCAAAAATAGGGACTGAAATAGAATAAAAAGTGTCAGAAAAAAAAAAGAATAGTTCTTCATCTTTTCTTGTCAGGTCCTTGTCACCCATGGGAGAGTCTTCATGAGGTCTGTCTTTGGCAAGAACAGTTCTAGGCTTTCCTTTTGTACAGACATAGTTTTGTCTTAGTGAGAGCAGTCCCAGTGGCCTTTAGATTCTCATCACTTGGTCCTTAGTTATTCACCAGTCAAAATTTTGTGTTGTCTTCTCAGTCTTGCCATCTGTTTCTCGGTAGACTTAAAAAGTCATGGTATGAGTGGCAAGGAGCCTGTGTCCTTCATGTTGCACAAGGATTGTCTCTACAGTGTAGATACCTGATTGATGCATATTTTATGTGTTAGGATAAACAAGCACTTGCTGATCAAAAGAAAGCCAAATTCCATCAGACAGAAGGTGACCACCTCACTCTGCTGGCTGTGTACAATTCTTGGAAGAATAATAAGTTTTCAAATCCCTGGTGCTATGAAAATTTTATCCAGGCCCGATCCTTACGCAGGGCACAGGACATCCGCAAGCAGATGTTGGGCATTATGGACAGGTGAGCATATTGAGAAGGACAAGTAGTGACTTTGTTTTCTTAGTGTTCTGACGCTGTAGTGGCTAAACAAAATTTGCTAATCTGATGTTGGTATCTGCACCCAAATCTGGAGAACTGTTAAGTTTTTTCTCTCTAACTCTTGTCTGGCAGGCACAAGCTGGATGTGGTATCCTGTGGGAAGGCAACAGTTCGAGTCCAGAAGGCCATCTGTAGTGGCTTCTTCCGAAATGCAGCAAAGAAAGATCCCCAGGAAGGTTATCGGACCCTCATTGATCAACAAGTAGTCTATATCCACCCATCTAGCGCTCTCTTCAACAGGCAGCCAGAATGGTAAGGAAGGCAATATCATGTAATTTTCTATTTCAGTTCAGAATTTATAACTGAAAAGGTTGTGGTGTGCACTGTTTGTGGAGTACAGATCAAGTATAGGCTGCTGATTTCTCAGCAATGAGCAGAATGAGAAAAGTTTCAAGTCTGTTTTGGTTCTTTCTGCTGCTAAAATTAGCGCCTGTGCAGAGATGAAACTTTTTGAGCCAAGGCCAGGCCTGAAGCCTGCAGTTCTGTGTTTCTGTGTTGTGGAAGTGAGTTTGAAACACTGAGTGTTGAGGGGGAGGGAGGGAGAGGGAGAGGAAGGAAGAACAAGAGGGAGGGAACAGGGAGAGAGAGAATTGTTGTAAATGGAATGAAGTGGTTCTGTGCTGAAGAGTAGTTGTGAAGTAGGAGAAGAAAAAGAAGATAGCTTTTCTGGATGGTTCCCTTGGAGTCTATAAGGAGCTTATAAGAAAGTTTGATGTGGAAGGAGGGTGAAATGGAGATAAAGGGGCAAGGTTAGATACTCCAGCCCTTGCCTTGTCTCTTCTTGTTTGGAAAAACTAATTTACAAAGTTGCTGGCCCTTTACACAGGGTGGTGTATCATGAACTGGTGCTGACCACCAAGGAATATATGCGTGAAGTGACAACTATTGACCCTCGCTGGCTGGTGGAATTTGCACCAGCTTTCTTCAAGGTTTCTGATCCGACCAAGCTGAGCAAACAGAAAAAGCAGCAGCGGCTGGAGCCCCTGTACAATCGCTATGAGGAACCCAATGCTTGGAGGATATCACGTGCATTCAGACGGCGATGAGCCTAATTCCCTCATGGACTCTTACTGGTTTTATATTTGTGGGACTGTGATTTTTGCACTGTTGCAAGTGTCCTGAAAGAAAGGACATTCAATTAAAGCTTACCTACAAAACGAACAGAACATAAGTATTTTCAGAGCGAGGGCACAAGGGGGCGATGTGTGCTTATTTCAGCTGTCCCTCGGATTCCACAGCTGCATGACAAATGTCCTGGGTTCCCTTAGTGTGTTGCATCATTTCAGAAGTGATTCTTGGAGCACTTCTTTAGTCATTCTGCTTTTAAGAGGCAAAACCTAAGACTCAGCAATCTGGGCACTGAGCTGAGCAACAAAAAGTTAGTGATTAAAAAATAGTTGTTCACCAACCTTAACTGCATTCTGAATGAGCGGACAAATAGAGGCTGGAATAGTTTGTTTCTTTACCCTGCTAAAAGGGATTTATTTCTACTTATGCTCTTGGACAGTGGCTGTTTTTGGGGAGCTACTTGTTCTCAATTTTTCCTGTTTTATGCGTTTTCCTGTTCAGTGTAACTATTTGTCTTTTGTGCAAGCCATCTGCGGAGAGATATGTAGTATCTGTGGCTTTGGGGTAAGGCAGGAAAGATCCCTTGAAACTCAGCTAGAATGTCAGTTATACTTGGACAATGGCATAGGTCAGACTGCAAGTCTTATCCTTCATCATCATCTTCTGTGTACTGAAGGCTAGTATATCAAATGGTAATTAACCACATCCACTCTGTAGCACGGCTCTGTCTGTGAACATAAGTGGTTACAGATGTTTAGACTTTCTATACAATGTGTCCTGTTTTATTTCCACTTACGTTTGGTGACATCACAACTTGTTTTTTTTAAACAGAATATGCTCTTAGAGCTAAAATGTCTGTAAAACATTGTGTAACAGTTCCTTATTTAAAAAGAAATCGGCTATCCAGTATGTGTTATGTCATGCTGAAGCCATCTGTAAACTATTTTTTTCTGTTGCAAACAGATGAAACTTACTTGACTGCGTAGCTGCAGATATCAATATCTTTTTTTTTTTTTTTTTCCCAAAGCTGGGATGTTTGCTAGAATTATTGTTGAAATGAGTAGAATGAAATTGGCTGGTTGTTTTACACTCAATGAATTTGAAGAATGTGTCACACTGAAAAGTAGTTATATTGGAAATCTGTATCTGTGTACAAAGGTGGGCAGGGATGTTGTATATACTGTTCTGTTATGTTGTATAAATGCCCTGAGCTTTCCCATGGTGTTACTTCTTTATAAAGTTAAATAGAATTGGAAAGTTCATAAGTTTGGAGGCTTTTTTCATTATGGCATTAGGCAGAGAACATTGTCCTATTGAATACTCTTCCAAGCATATTTTCCTTCCACGAACTCTGCAGCTACATCTGTTACTGTTTTCTATGAAAATTTGCACTTGACTTTCAAAAGTCAAATGAAAGATGTAAAAGAGAAAATCTACACAGTGGAAGCCCCAGTTGTACAGCAATCTTTGAGGTATTTCTGTTCCAAATTAATTTTGTATTTGCTTCTCCAGTGTAGTCTCTTTCTGACTTATGGTAGGGGAAAATGCATCAACGGAGAGGATTTTTTTTTTTTAAAGTGAACAGGTGTCATCTGTTTTGTGTGTGTTATTTCTTTCCTTGGTGTAATTTTTTCAGTAATATCCTTTAATTCATTTACAGAAATTTTTCCATGTCGATCTCAGCTGCTTGCTTTGGGAATACCGCGCATCCAACAAGTGTGTGCAACAAGAATGCTGGGCTCACAAACTTGAACTACTTATGCATTTTTTTTAAAGCAAGTTTTATCAACTCGTTACTGCTCTGAGGTTTCTGAGCGTAACATCCTAATGTCTTCTACTGTTTATGTGATTTTTAGCTGGTTTATCTTGTGTAAAAACCTGAAAATAAGCTGCCTGATCCTAGGATAAAATGACAGACTTAATGCTTTATTCTGGCAGTACTTACATAACTGAATAGGTATTTTAGCCCCTTATGAGGGAAAGTGTTCCTTGAACTTTCCTGTGTGAGGTGCTTGTGTAAGCACCTGCCAACCTGTCCTTGTCTAAATGAACTGCGTTATTTTAAATGTTATAAATTGTAGCTCTTCTGGTTCATTTTGACCACTGAGTTAATGCAGTAGAACTAGTAACACAAGTTTCTTACCTAAAGGCAAAAATTCTGCTAGCAGAGGCCATGTGTCTAGTCTGGAATGTTTTTGGAGGTGTTATGTTTAGCGTAACTGCTAAAAATTTGCTGAGTAATGTCAGTACGTGTGTGTGTAATCTTTGCGTGTATCCCTTTGTCAGCAATAAATAGCCTCCTTGCCTTTAGCAGGTCTTGTGCTGCAGACTGTGCTAGTGTGGGGTAGAACTTTCTATAAACATGCCAGGAGGAGATGAGCTTGCCCTATCTCCGGTCTCACATGCCAGGAGGAGATAGATGTTTATTGCCAGCAACAGCAGCAAATGCAGCCACTGAAAGGCCTTCCCTCAGGCTTGGGCAGCTCCCTGCTTCCAGTGATATTTGGTTAAGATGTTGAAAAGAGGCTTCACCTCTAATTAAGGGGAAAAGCTTAGGCTGCTGAAGCACTGGGGTTATTCTTATATCTGCTGGCAGAGAGCAAACTAACTAGTTAGCTACAAGGGAGCAGAGGGGAAAACAAGGATACAGGCAGGGTGAGAATAACTAAGCAAGACTAAATTGAAGGATTATAATGAGTGCCATTCCCACAAGAGGCTGGAAAAATGGCACCAACCTTTGGGCAGAGTAGAGGGGGTGTAGATGAAGGCTCAAGCTATGGTTGCCTTTTTTTTTTTTTCCCCCTCCTGGAAGACCAATGAGCAATGTGAAATGCTGAATAGTTCCTCTGAGGAATTCCAAGCCATCTGTGAACCTCTTTACCGCTCAACAACATTGTGGCTTGTGGAACATTTAATACAAGTAGCATGGACTAAGCATTGCTGGTTACTGTTCCCCAGAGCTTGATGTAGTGTCGCTTGCCTAGCTGAAGACCTCATTCTGCTTGTGGGGATATGAATTTTTCTGAATAGATGGAACAAACAATCCTTTGTCTCAAACTCTAGCAGCATGTGCCATAGGCCAGTTTCCATGTGTTAGCTAGTTGTCACAAGCAAAGGATTCACAGCTAAAGAATGACTTACACATTCATGTGTATACACACACGCACTCACATATGTCCAAAACCAACCTTTTGCCCTTAATGCAAGAAAGATAAATACGATTTTTACAGCCAGCCCCACACATGCTCCATCTGTTATAGTAACTACCTTAACCTTATTAATGGGCTTGTTACCAGAGCCGGTGTGACACCAATGTCTTGCTACTTGTACAATGAGGGTTTTGTTTTTTAGTAATTCAGTTTTCATGAGATTTCTGTGACAATTGCAGAAGGCTGTGATACTGACCCATTAGCAGTTTCATGGAATTTTTCATTTATGAATGTATCATTCTTTCAAGCCAGCTGGGAATACAGTGAGTGAGTATCTGATTTTAGCAAATGTGTTTTGTATGTGTATGTTCTGTAACCTACATCAATCCTCTGGCTGGTCTGTCCATACACTGGAGGTGGAGAAGCAGGGCTGTGCTGATCTGGATATGCTGGTTTATTTGGATCAAAAATGATCTTATAGTTCTTGTAGCTGGTAGGCCTGTGGGTCTGTCCAAACACAGCTCTGCTCTGCAAGCTACACTGAAAGCAGTGCTTTTTTGTTGAGTCTAGAAAAGTCTCCTATTTGAGTTCAACGTTAGTTCACTTTTACTAGCAAAAAGGCAAGAGGTAGAAGTGAACTGGATCATAGTTAGTGGCAGATCCTGGCTATTTTGGAATGTGAATGTTAGTTTCTACCATTTAGGTCTGCCACAGTGACAGTGTCTGAAAAGCCCGTTGATGGAAATCCAGTGGTAGATTTCTTCAAGTTTAGGAAACAAAATCAGAGATGTGAGGAGAAACCTTATAAATTCTTATGCCTCTCTTGCCTTTGGTTAATTCTCCACCATGTCCATTTAGGACTTAAACATGCATGTTGCAGAAGTTTCTGCTCTGCCCTATCCCCCTACACATAAGCCTGGCTCCCTGAAATGTTAAGGTGGACTCATGGCCCTGAGGTGTGTTTGTTTTTTACTGAAGTAATTTGAATGCTGTATTTCTCTCCCCCACCCTCTGGGCTGCACTCATATTTGAACTCTTGTCTACAGACATGAAGCTCTTGGCCTTACTCTGAAGCAGGATCAGTGGGAATTCCCTGGCCTCTTTTGGATCCAGGATTTAGGGTGTTCAGAAAAACACCATGACCAGCCACAGGGCTGCAGGTAGCCTGCTCTCCTAGAAAGCCATGTGCTAAGGACATATGCTGTGTTGCAAAGGAGCTCTTGTGCAGCAGAGGTAAAGGGCACTCATTTGCACAGTTGAGTTCAGCAGAGCCAGTGAAGGGATGAGGACCTGCTGGGTGACACAGGTGTTGATCACTGCCCTCAGGGGACACAGGTAGCTGCTACCAGTGTAGAAAGCTGACCTCCCAGCCCCTGCCCTCTGTCTGAGAGGGGAAGTGGCTGAAGGCTGTTCTCTGTGCATCTCATCTTGGGGGTTGTTTGGTCTCTAGGGTCTTTTCTGCTTTTAATTAGCCTTAGGATTTGGGGGCAGTCAGGGCAGAATACGTCCTACCTCAGGGTATCTCGAGTAGCACTGCATTAGTGCACAGTGCCAAAGCAGCATTGCTGGGCTGTCTCCTGCTGCAGTGTGCAGAGCCTGTTCTGTTGCAGCACAAGCCTCTGGCCTGGGTGCTTCCCCAGGCACCACCAGCTCCTGAGCCCTTGCTACTCATAAACACAAGTGTATGGCCTATGAAAGGACAGGCGGTGGCTGACAGAGTACAAGGCACTCAGGACTGTATTTATTGTGCGTTGAGAAGTGGGGGTGACTTTCAGCTAAAAGTGCCAGTGTTGAGCTGGGGCAGTCAAAGGCACCTTGCTACTGCTGTT